AAAAAAAAAAAAAAAAAGCCCCAAAAAAAAGGTTTTTTTTGGAGGAACATTCATTCATCCATCCATGCGCTAAGCTTATCAAACAAACAAAATCGAACCGGAAACAAACAATGACGTCAATAAGAAAACCCAACGATTTTTTTTTTGATAAGAGAAAAAAAAAAAACTTTTCCAATGGATCGAAAGTCGGCCCCCCCCCCTCGTTCGGGCCTTTGATCCAATATGAGAGACACACGAGGGACGTTTCACTCTCCTCCTCGTTATTATTATTATTTTAAATACAAATCGCACTCGGCTCCCCCCAAAAAAAAAAAAACGTAAAAAATTTTTTTTTATAAAACAAACTTCAGCCATATAAATTATAATGAGATACGATTTGCTTTACAAAAGGGAGCCGATTACGACGCGGTTTGACACTCTAAAACCAGCAAAAAAAAAAAAAAATTTAACGTCTTTTTAAAATTTTTATTATACCTGTAAACAAGTCAACGTGGTAGTAGTAGTAGTAGCAGCAAAAAGTAGATAAAAAAAAAAAAAAAAAATTTCAAATGTTACGACGGCTTTAACTTGACCCCCAACCGTACCTGAGTGTCACATTAAGGTTACGTAATAATAATAATAATAATAATAATAATAATAATAATAATAATAATAATAATAATAATAATAATAACAAACATTCCTCACTCGTTCGTAACGCCGAAAATAAAAAAAAATTCTAAACCAAAGGAAAATACGGAGAAAATTTTTTTTTTTTTAAATTCCTTAAACGTTTAAAAAGTCAAAAAGATTAGATTCGAATAAAACAAAAAAGAAAAATCCCATTTAAATCTGATTCATTTTATTATCAGGTATCAGACACCAGAACAAACAACAACAACAAACAACAAATTTCGTTTGTATTTATTAATAAACCGACGATGAGTTGCCTTGAATGAATTGCCGTGAATTCTATGATATAAAAAAAGTTGTTTTTTTTTTTTTTTTTTTTTGTTTTGTTTGTCCACAAAGTGCCTGATATAATAATAATTTGGCATCATCCTATGATGACTAAGGTTCGAGAAAAAAAAAAAAAAATTTTTTTTTTTTTTTAAAGGAAATGTCGAACATTTATCACCTGCCAACCAGATAACAAAAAAAAAAAAAACCTAAAAATGGTTTAGTTACGTAACAAACAAATATGAAATTCAAATTGAAAACAACAACAACAAAGTCTCGAAATAGAAAAATTTCAAAAAAAAAAAAAAAAACAAAAATGGGGGAAATTTTTTTCCTTTCTTCTTTCTTTAAATAAAAAGAAATAAAAGAAAGAGAGAGAAAAAAGATGGACTGCGCATGCTCTCTCCTTTAATTTTTTATCAAGTCACACACAAAACACCTCATTAATAATGTATTATGGAGAGCCTTTTCTCTCCGAAACCGAGAAAAACCGACGAAAAATGCCTTTGAACCCAATTTAGTCGCTTTCGTTCGAAACCAACGATACATACATATACACTCTTATAAGGATTCTGCGCAAAAAAAAAACCCAAAATGATCTTTTTTTTTTTTTTTTGCGGACGAAAAAAAATTCTTTCTCTCTCTCTCGAAATTATCAACTCAATATTTTATCTCTATTTTTTTTTCCCTCCCACAACTTCTTCACCCCACCCCTCCTCCGCCTTTTCCTCCTCCTCTTCCCCAAGTGTAACTTGGGTAATAAAACTTCATTTGACCCAATTATTATTATTATTATTTTCCCCCTCCCGCCCCCAATTACAACAAGCGGAAAATGAAAAAAAAAAATCGAAAAACTATTTACACGTCGATGTTAATTCTTTGCATGGAACGTTTAAGGATTAAATTTACTCTTTTATCATTATTATTATTTATGCGAAACCATTATTAATATTATTATTATTATTAAAAAAACATTTAGTGTTCGATACCGAAACGGAGAAAGAAATACGAGGAGTAGTAGCGGCGGAGGGGAGAAGGAGGAGAAAAAGAAATCTAAGGGCGCCACAGCTTGAAGCCTACCGGATCAATAAGCACTCACACACACACACACACACACTGACATCTCCAAGGACAATGCAAACAAAACTTCTGCCGCCCCCGCACTCCCCCCGGAAAATTTAAATGTTTTTCTTTTTTTCTTCATCTTCTTCAGATTCAAAATTTTACCCAGTCGAAGAGCTTAAACGAAAAAATAAATTTTTTAAAATTAATAAATAATCCTCTCGCGCACACACACACACAATTTTTTTAAAAAATGTCTTTAGAATAGCTATTCTACCTGTACTCTATCAGTATTTAATAATAATAATAATAATGTGACCTTGAAATTAAAAATATTCCCCCCCACCTTCATTTTCACCTCAGGCTACCTATCCCTCTCTCTCTCTCTCTCTCTCTCTCCAACATAATAATTCATCATCAAATACAGAATATTTTATTTTTCAAAAGTTGGCGTTCGAAATAATTTTTAACATGGCAGAAAAAAAAATAAAAGAAAAAAAATTCAATCTCTCATGTCCGTGAGTTTGTTAATTCGTTCTCGGTACGCGCATCGCGAGGGCTCATCAAGGTGAAAGGTAAACAGGAAAAAGGGAAAGTCTTTGCTTCTTTCCTCTCTCTCTCGCTCTCTCTCTATCTCACTCACTCACTTTCCCTCTCCATTTGCCAAACCACAATATTGACTTGTGTCAAAAAGGAAGCTGGCGCTTTGCGCGGCTCATCACGTGGTCCTCTCTCCTCTTCCACATATTTTGCATTTCAGTTTCTTTGTCTCGCTGCTTACTTTTCCCCCCCCCCCCTCAACTCCATTTTTCCCCTTTCCCCTCTCCTCGATTTCGTTTTATTATCCGAAAAATCCTTTTTTTTTTTTTCTCTTTCTTCTCCTTT